TGAATCGATATTCAAGAGTTTATCTCAAGTGAACTATAATAATGGATAATAATAATAAATAAAACTATTAACAATAATAAAGAAAATTGCAGATGTTATAAAATTGCTCATTTGAATAATTGTGAATTATGCTATAAACTGAAAGTACTGACGCCAAAAAGCTATGAATAAAAAGAAATAACTATTAATAAGAATAAATCACAATATACGAGGAAAAATATTGTATCTTTAAATTAGTTACTAGTTTCCACGCGAAATATAAAACACATTCAATATCCCATAATGTTAAAAATAATGATCGCACGAAAAAGGTTTTTTTTTTCTTCTGAAAACAAGGATACGAACGTAATCCGCTAGATAATCACCTGGTTGACATTCATTCGGAGGAGCTCACAGGCGTAAATTAGCGGGGTGATAAGGGGGAGAGGTAGGCCAGTGCTACATCCAATATTTCGAGTTGAATTTAATTTTCTCAATCAGGAAAATTGTTTAAACAGTGTTGATGAAATCTTAAACGCATTTCAACATGTTTTATTACCATCCAGCATTTTGATCCCATAGGCGTCGACAGTTCGATTTAAGCGACCCGCACAGGAATAAGTCGAGTCAGCGTTGAGTTAAGTCAAGTAAGGACCAAGTCAGCCGACAGATAAAATTCTCTTCACCATACGCGTTGAATTTCAACCGAAATTAGAACGACTTGGAGCCATTTTTAAAATTGAAAACTATTTGCAATACATACAATTTGTATGTGGGTGTGTGAGGAATCGCTTCTACAATACGAAATAATAATAATAATAATAATAATAATAATAATAATAATAATAATAATAATAATAATAATAACACTACTAATTAACACTACTTATTAGCACTTTTGGGCAAGAAATGTTTGTGATTCTTATTCATTGGCCGTCGGTCGCGGCCCTTTATACTCGGCCCCTGAAACGCGCAAACCTCCTCGGGCGGCAGCGCCCACCCGGCAGGCTCCGCAGGCGCGAGCGCCCCTTCGCGGCAGCGCAGGGTAATCTGCTTCCCAGAGAGCTGTTATTCCTGCGCCTCCAAGTAATGTGGCGTCCCCTGCGAAAGGGCGTCCCGAGGGCCGCGGCGGGCGGGCACGACACTCTCTGCGCGGCCGCCGCCCGGCCGCCGACCCAGCCACCCTGCGTCACTCGGATAAAACGGCTCATTCAGGACCGATACATTATTCACAAGACACACGATTGTGGACGACTTTATTCAGCCGAGCAATTAAGAGAAAATAATAATAATAATAATAATAATAATAATAGTAATAATAATAATAATAAGCTATAAATTATGTTTGAATATTCAAAGAAATGAATTGAAAGGACAGGAATCGAACCCTGCCAATTGCTCTAAAAAACATCAGCTACCGAGACGGTCAACTCTTCGAGCAGTTTTTAGGTGTTGGGAGCCATTGAGACGGATTATTATTATAAATACTATATTATTATTAATGATATTAATATTACAAATAACACGTGAACTCAATTCAGCACTTTAGCCACAAAAATCAAATGTTTCTTGACTGGTTTTCTAGACACTTAAAACAATTTTAATACGATTAATATAACCCTATACAGCAATATACGATGCGCAAAAATAATGAAAATCTACTCACATCAACCCAAAAAAATTGAAATCGGAACTACCTAAAAAGGATGTGAGCAGACGTCAATATTTATCCGGTGCAAGCGTCGAAACATGACGCAAATGCCATAACGTTGCTACATTACATTCTTCACGGCCTCCGTCGGGAGAGCGGAGCTGCCCTAATCCTAGAGGAAACAGCGAGCGCACGCATGCCGACTCGCGCAAGCGGTGACGCGCCGCGCCGCTCCGTCGCCGCGGATCTCACCGCGTCGCTTCGGCGCCTAAATCGCCCCCGCCCGCCCCAGACAGACGCCCCGTCCCCGCCCGCCCCAGACGCAGACGCCAGCAAGACTGGCAAAACCCAGTACTTTCGAACGACCCAAATAATCTTAAATGTGCAAGCGTACCGCGTCTAGTGGACAATCATTTCTTGGAACAATTTTTCCGGACTTTTACAGGTTTTCCAAGGGTTTTTTTGCTAATAAGATTGGTGATTTCACATTACTTAAAGAACATATTAAAGCCCCTGGTACTAATTGAACAACTGTCTAATTTTACCGTCACAAAGTATAAATGAACCACGTTTTCTCACCAAATACAAATTGAGCAAAATATAACGATGTACAAATATTTTTAAGGAATAACCCGTTCCCTTGGCGCATTTAAAGGCATCATGAGAAAACGTATGCCACTAGGTATCGCCAAATTCCGTAAGAGTACGTGCAGTGAAGGGGGCCCCCTGTGGAAATTTTGAATGACTGAATAGGATCCCGCAGCCTGGCATAATTATAACATTTTATTTCTGTGAATATGTTCCACCTTGATTTCCCCTTTTCAACCAGGCAGTTTGGAGTATTATTACACATTTGGAGAAGAAGTTTCCCACGTCATCCGACAACTGTGAGAATGGTTTAACATAAAAATCAATTGCATTTAATATTGAGATTATTAAAGCTGTAATTTCATTCTACTTGTGGTGTGTTTTATTTATATACTTGCATGAATCATTATGTAATTTTAAAAGCGGTTCAATGGAAATAGGGTTTCCGAAATGTAGTTGGCTGCTCTCGTTTTAGAGAGTACGTGGCCTCCGCCAAATCCACATCACTCGATTTCTCCCGGCGACTCGCCCTGCCTCCCCAGCAGCGCCGAGAGTCCGCGGGGGCGCTAACGAAGACCAGCAGGCGGCGGCTGCAGGGGCGCCCCCGCGCGGCCGCGGAGCAGCGCGGGGCCCTCGGCGCTATCGGATTGCGATCTGCCACTTCCGCGACGGCAGACGGGACGGCGGGGCCTCTGCCTGCCCCTGCCCCTCAGGGAGAGGGATTATAATAAAACACAAGCCGGCCGCCGTGACGACTGCGGCGGCGGCGCCTGCCACAAATTCCGCAACTAACACCCTGTCAGGAGGAAAGCGCCGCGCCGCGCCGCCCCCGCGCCGCGACAGGAGCTTACGGCCGCCGCCCCTCCCTCCACGCCCTGCTCGCCGTCGGCCCCGGGGCGCACCCCTCGCGCACAGATCACCCGGCTGCCACGAAGATCAGCCTCGCCACGGACTGCCTACGGTCTTCCTACGTTATTCAATTGTCGCCAACCGTCATTCAACCGGTATTGTTGACTGAAAGCTACACACGAATGTCAAAGACAAGTACACCGAATTAATTAATATTGTGTGTGATTATCACAGAGTAATACCAGCTTCTAGATTCACTGCACTGTTCTTCATCCGAGCTGTTAAAAGCTTTAGAACTCTTCCACTTTTACCAACAGACACAAGCTTTTCAATCATACGAATCAAAAAAAAAAAAAAAAAAAAAAAGATCCACACGTAGGAAGAAGAACGATTTACACACGTTCCGCATGTCCTAAATCAAAACTGCAGTACCCGGCGCACTCTACTGCGGGTGACGCATGCGCAGTCACCTCCTGGCCGCGCAACCGCGGTTGCGAAACCGCAAAGTTCCAAGGCGCCAACGCGTCGCGGGCGGCGTGTAATCCGCGGGCGCCAAACGCCCACCGCACGCGACCGCAACTTCCGCCGCCACCGCCAACCGGCCGGTGACTCTCGACACGACGCGCCGCGCCGCGCCATGTCGCTCGACCCACGTGGTCGGCTGCGCGGCGCGGGGCGGCGCGGCCGCATTCTGGGCGGGTCGTATGATCGATCACCTGTCAATAAAACACGTCCAATTGCCCACGCCGCCGCGGGATTGACGCGATAGCCGAAAAAAAGGTTACTGGCCGACAACGATTTAAACGAACGGCGGACGCCAGCGCGCGGCGTGGCGCGGCGTGACGTGGCGAGGAGTCGCGGCCGGGTCGGGCGCGTTTTAAAGCGGCGGACCCAGAACCCGTAACCCTCGGAGCGAGAGGACGGTCGAAGCACAGAAATTTGTAAGCGATTCAAAGAGCGATCTGGACGAGGGCACGAGAATTTTCACGAAAGTGAAAAAGTTTTACGAATGCGGTTTATGTTCCCGTTCGTAAATGTTTCATTTCACTGTTCTGATTAAAAAACGTATATACAAGCGGGAAGGGATCACAATTAAGATAACAGATTCAAAATTCATTCACCAATAAAGGTAAAAGTATCTTTCTGGTTTATCCTTCTATAAATATTTCATACTGATGTATTACATTGCAAAATAATCCTAACTGGAAGATAATTTCATGAACCTACGCACAATACACCAATATCCTACAAAACCGACATTTTAGATTAGCAGCAGGTGCAATATGGGAAGCCCGTAACTCCCAACTGCATACAGATTTTCACATATAATCTTTAAGTGAGCGTATTATTCACCTGACATACAATTTATTTTCCTATCTTCATTCTTTCTCATCAACACCAATTTTCAACTTACGACGAGACCTTCCATCACATACAATTTTTCCCTTACTGCCCCTCATACGGCACCTTTTAAAAATTTTAGATACTCCGCAATAAAATAGTTCTAAGTAATAAATTAAAGTACCACAAACCTAAATCAGTAATGCAATGTGGAAAACATACTGGGCGTTACTTCCGAAGACTACTATAAATATCTAAGGTCAGAAGGTCTGACCAGTACACTGAAGGTAATGAAACATTTTTTGAAAAAATACCATTATCTGTATGACTGTACTAAAAACTCATCATATTGTATCATATTGTATACATTAAAAAATCATATTGTATCTCTGTTTTTCAATTTCATCATAAGTATATTCGTGAAATGCAATCTTAGAATTGATTTCCATAACAGACTAACAAATATAATTTAAATAATAAAGCAAATTGTATTGAAATACTGAGGACAGAGACGAAAATCAATTCGAAGAACATGACAGGTAAATCCACTATTGGTTGCAGCGAGCAGGAACACTCTGCTGTGACGTCTTACCTTTTCCAACTCGAGGAGGTGAAACCGAAGTACTTGAATCGCTTGCACCATCTGGAAAAAGAGCAAAAGCAGTTAATGAATGCAAGGCATTTCCATTGACATCTACCTAAAACCCAAGCCCACTAAGAAATATCTAACCCACACACCGTCCAGATTAATACTTCTCTAAAAGCATGCCTTCATTTACATTTGAAGAATTTCCGTGACATTTCAAATGTAGTACCTGTTAAGAGTGCATTTAGGACATTGTTTTAAAAAAAATTAGGATTTTTTTCGGTTCAACAGAAAAGTTCGATTTAACTTCATTCGTTATAATAACAATCTTTCAGGACATTCTGTGAGTTTCAAACAAATTAATGTTTCTGATTGACGTGTTCATGCGTTTTTAAAGAAACATAAAAGCGACAGACTAAAATAACGTATGAAACGTTTGTGTAGTACGTGAATAAAGTAATAAGAATAACTTTGATATATTTTTAGTTTAAAGTTAGAATCAATACGCAAAAGTATGTGCTGTTTCAGTGCAATGATTATTCACAACAAAGTAACAAGAAGCAGGGTAAAAAAAAATATTCTGACTGCCATTTAGAGAGCACATTAGAATATTCCAGGATCGTTTGAAATGTAACAATCACATTTAATTAATTCCCTCCGACATAAGTTTGATCTGTTGAACGAATTGTATTTGTCCAAATAACACATTTGGTATTGATTTGCGATGCTTTAAATGTATGTTGTGAGTTGTAGTTCTGATCCGTTTGTGGGTTCTGTAGCCTCTCAGAAAAGCCACAACCTAGTCTATCTTAACCAGTCACAGAAACGGAGAAGGAACGCGTGGAAGACAAGGAAATCCGGCATCAGCGAGAGACCAGCGAAGGCAAGTGCATGTTCCGATGTTTGGGCAGGGGGTGGCTGGGGGGGGGGAGGGAACGCATCCCAGCTGCGCCCCTCGGTAAAGGTGCGATAATGGCCCTCCCCCATTAGAGCGTTCCGGAGGTGACTGCTTAATTTTTTAATCGAGTTACCCACGAAATATGAAAGCTTCCGCAGCGATGCAATATGCCGCCCCCTGCCGCCTGTATCCGGCGCGACTCCTAAAAGCGAAGCGCCATTAGCTTAAAAACTTCGAAAGCCAAGGCCTGCTTATTATTTAAAGTTTGGGGAAGGTTTCAAACTCTTCGACGCGGAAGTCGCAGCGAAACAAGAGCGCGGCGAGTTCCTGTGTCCTCCCGCTCATATTCTTGCAGCGCCAGTTCCCTTCTTTTCCTTCTCGAATTCGCCATTGGCGCCATCCGAGCCTTTACCATCGCCGAACGCGTCGAAGATCACGGGCCAATGCTCTCCCACGGAGAAACTACGATAGCATAAGCTCCTTCGTGACTGCAGAGCTCACGAAATTTCGCTCTGCAAATAAATTACGACATCGCACGACTTTCAACGAGCCAGACTCGCCATTTCACTCGTCTTGGAGTAACGTAACACGGGAAATAAACACAGCTCTGTTATTAACACAGTGGATGGAGGGATTGAAACGGGTTTATTCTCTGTTTTATTTTCTCTGGTAGAAGAAAATGTTCCTTTTGCAAAGTGCAGTGACCTCGAGTCATTCCGCCTAATGGTGTAATCTCACACTCAAAATCTTCATTTCGGTTCTTGGAACATCATCAATAATGCATTAATTCACTAATGAATGAAGGATGCGCCATCACACATTAAAATAAACCTCACCATAATACAAATATATCTTAATTTTGAAATGAAGATAATTTTTGGCAATCAATGTGAGCGAGTCTACTAAAACAATTAATTAGGCTAAAATTTCAGCCAATACGTTATTTTTGACTTCACAAATTGTATAATTTACTTGTAATTAGAAAAACGTGCGTTAGAGAGCATACTTCCGAGATAATTTAACACAATATTAATAATATATAACAATATATCCGTGCGTTATCATGATTTAGATAGGATTATACAAAGAAAAGAGGCAGGAAATGTTCATAAACTCACAATAATACACGAATTCTAAATGATAGTACAAGCGAGATGGAAGACCTAGAGAACATACCAACTCCACCGCGAATGAAAAACGCGGACAAAATTTCCGAAAGGATTAGACACATTTACGTCGATTACAATAACAAATGGGGCGACTTAATTAGACAGATTCCAAATACACGGCGATATCTTCGTTCGGAAAACGCAAATCCGTGTACGGGCGGGCCCGAGATCCACGTATCTCGCAGCAATCAGTCGCGTCCTGATGGGATTGTGCTCGATGTGACGATTTCATTTGACCACCTACAACAGCGGGCGCGCGGGCAAACAACGCCAGCCCGCCCTCTACCCACACACACACCTTAATTAGAAGAATGTAAAGGGGGGCTCCATGTTAAACGATCTCCCTCCTCCAGGCGCAACGCTCCTGCTCGGATCCTAATGACGTGAAATCGTATCATTAACCCGTGAGAACACTGTCATAGCGCTGACGAGCTCGTACGCAGAGTCGAAACTTTATATCCGGCCAACAAGACAGGTAGTTAGACTGCAGGAGGCAAGGAGCGGATCCTACGATAATCATAAAGATCTGACAAATAAATTAGACAAGTTCGTTAGTGCCAAGGACGAGGAATGACATAACCGGCAGTCGGTGGCGTTGTGCTTGGGGCGAGGGGGGGGGGGGCTGTAGGGACGAGAGTAGCTGGAGAGGCAAAAGAAGAGACGGCGTTTGAAGAGGAACGGGCAAATGAGCAAAAATATTAAGTTCGTGCAGAGGTCAAAGAATGACGTTCACATTCCGTGTATAACAATACAACGGCTTGTACCAGAACAACACAACTACATCCATCTACCACCTCGCGAAGGATGCATTAAGCTAACGTTCTATCCCTTCAGGGGGATAGAAGAGGAAAAAAAGAGAGTTAAAATCGAGAAAGCAACGTGAGGGCGAACCATTAGCGCGCGAAGAACTCATAATGCCGAACGACCAAATTTCAATATCAATGAAGGGATTCCTGCGCTCCGGGTCGCGGAGGGAGGAGGCCCACTCGTCACAATCTCTCCCAAGTGACAGCCACCGCGCGCGCTCGTGCTCGCTAGTTTCGCCGGGGCCCGTCCACGCCGCGCGACGTCGGAATCCGCCCCATTCATCGCACGCCCGCCATCACGGGCACACGCCGCACCGCGCCGCGCTCCATAAGTGGCCTAAGCGCAGATAGCCTCTCGCCAGGCGCGCCCCGCCCCGCCCCACCCCGCCCCGCCCCTCTGCGCGTCCTCTTGACAGATGAGACGCGCGCCCCGCGCAGATATACTCCAGTCTCGACAAGATGGATCCCTAAAGAGCGAGCTTTGCGGAATGAAACACGGTTGGGAAATGGGCTTGGGCTGAAACACGGCGACCACAGCGGACTAGTTCTTCTATGTGTGGTGGTTCTCACATAGAACGTCGATGCCATCCGTGCAAGCAACGCCAAATAAACGTACTTATGAATGCTAAAATAAATGATGTTCCACAAGTAAACAAATGAAATTGCACAGTACGGTGGATCACTAATTTATTTAAAGCTCGGGTTTGGGGTCGATCGCTACAAGACGGGTGCCTGGTATACTCTTTTACATCAACATCCTTTACATCTTTTACATCAATAAGCCTTTCGGTGGCCGATGGATCTACCGATGTATACGCCACTGGAACCCACCTACTCGTACAGCACAAATAATACGTCCAAAAAATTTGCTGATTCAACCTAGTCGTTTTCAATGTAACTCTTTTTCATGATCTGCAACTATTTTGTTTCTTCAGCCATTTGAAAATATGCTCCACTTTAAACAGCACCACACAGACACAGTGTTCGATGCAGATGCAATGAAATGAATGTGAAGATATAAGAATGTAGTCATAAGTCGTTTACAAAATCCTTATTTTATAGAAAATACACAATTTAAAGAACTTGATTTTCTTTGTGTGAAATGAAGGACATCATTATGTTGCCTCGACCCTTTCTATGATGTTGTTACAAACTACAATATAACAAAATTTCGTATTAAATATCAATGAAAAGTGATTTCTTTGACGCATTTCAAAATGCCTTCGAACTAAAACATGCGAATTAAAACCTAATATATTAAAATTTAGATTTTCGTTCTCTCATGGCAGGGTTACATTTGGAAAACAGCGAATCTCCTAAGAAATCGGCGTCCAAAGACAGATAAATGCCGTTATATATTCATTCACACACGAAAAAATATATAAAGCAAACTAGTGGCAATGATATGCGGACTGAACGCGAGAAAACAAGTTACACCACAACAGCATGAATAATAATTTAACACGACCCGATTTTCTATTCGAACTTTTCTTTTCCTGTTTCTCATTCATTAATTTCCGACAAACAAAAAGCAAAACTTCGTCCTCTCCACAAGAGGCAACGAGCTTTAAATTCCTCTTGTAGTGTTGAGATCTCGCAGACATTTCGCACCCCCTGGGGTGCACACACAGAAACCTCCTCCCCGGCCCCCGCCCCCCGAGACGACAAGTCCGCTCGCTACACGGACGCACTTGCCGGAAAATAATCCGCCGCACGCTGTTTGGGCAAGTTCAATAAACAGGGACAAAAGTGTTGTTTATTATCGTATTTTCGCACGGAAAACCCGCCCGGGCGCCGGCTCCGTAAGGCCCCACGGCGAACCACAATAAACGCGCGCCGCTCCGCGCGCGTGTATGCGGCCGCGCATTTTGCCCATCGGAGAGCGCGCGCGCGCGCCCCCAAAATATACACGCGCCGTCGAATTTGTTAATCCGCGCCGTAACGAGAACACGTGGCCTCGCCGACGGGCGAGGACGGCCCGTAGACGGACCGACTGACTCACTGCCCACACAGAACGTATACAGGAAAAAAGGGGCGAGACGAGGATTAGATTCCGGGGTAGATATATATAAAACCCAAATTTTTAAAAGTTTCTATTAGCCATAAATGTGGTTATTATTAGCAATTAGCCTAACATATTTTAAGTATGATTGAAGCATTGGTATGGTTCCATTTCATGATACA